GACTTGAAGGCGGTTTTCCCTAAGACCCAGCCAGTACCTCCCCGCCCTTCATTTAAACCCACCATTATCATTTTCTCAGCTAAAAAGCGTTAACCTCAGAGCATTATTTAGAGCCCCCCCTCCCAGAATGGCAGGAAGGCAGCAACCCCACCTACATGACCCGCCAGCATTAGAAGTGTACATGTGAAAGGCACTCTGCACATGCTCAGAATAACGCTTCATTCCAGATATTTTAAATGCGCGCGCGCGAGCACTCAAAACGTGGGGGAAATCCACCACGCCTTCCGTGCCTTGCAATCAGGACGGGGCAGGCAAAACGAGATTAACAAAAAATGAAAAAATAAATAAGTTCTCAACCTCCTTCCTCCACTGGGTGAAAAAAACAACCCCAAAACCTTTCCACTAAAGCAACCCCGAGATTGGCGACCCTGCTCTCCGTCGTCCCCTCTGAAATCCCCCCCCTTCCCGCTACAACCCCGCTTCGCAAGCCACGGAGGCCCTTCTCACCCTTTCGCACTAGGCCTCAAGCCGGGGCGCCGCGTAGTTCCCGAAGCCGCGCGATAGCGCCTCCTCTTCGGCCAGGGCAGGCCCCGCGCGTCACCAGCGGCGCCCGCCAATCAGCCTCATCGAGCGGAGCGCAGGCAAAACGCGTCTGACTCCTCTCGCGCGTCTTGGGAAGGCCACCACTACGCAATCGACGTACCGGCCCGATGGGAGGAGCTTGGCGGGAGGCTTCTCGGCCGCCGAAGACGTACGCAGGCCAGGCGGGATTCTACGGGATGCGATACGTAAACTCCGCACTGTGCTGACTGTTCCCTCCGCGTCGAAAAGTCTAGGCAAAATCCGTAACGGTCCCTTCGGTGTTTGCCCAAACTACGTTACGTGGAGAGGAAAGCTCTCTGCTGACGCCTAAAGGAGACCGACGGGAAGTACACTCAGGAGGCATATGGATGTTCTTGTTGAATTAGCCTACAGGCGTCTTCCACACCAGTGTCCCCTCTAAACTGAGTTGGTGTGAGCTAGCTCACAGTTTTTTAGCCCCCGGCTCTGTTATGTATTGGGATTGAAGCATCCCTGATTGAATCACCCTAGAGACTGGCTGAGCTTGGAGCAAAAGAACAATAGCCGACCAGGACTCTGGAATAAACCAGAATAAAGCAGAGGTCCATCAGTGGCTATTAGCCACAAGGTATAGATAGGGACTCTGGGGCAAGTGATGCTCTGTCATCTTGGTGCTTGGGGGGGGTCAACAGTGGGATGGCTTCTAATGTCCTGGCCCCACTGGTGGACCTCCTGATGGCACTGGTATTTCTGGCCACTGTGGGATACAGAGTGTTGGACTGGATGGGCCTTTGGCCTGATCCAACATTGGCATCTCTAATGTTCTTATGTTCTTAGTCAAGTAGTAATGTTTTGTAAATAGCCTATCATGAGGAGTGGGGTGTTTTGCATGCATATAAACAGGACTCCAGCCCTGCTAGAGTTGTCTTAGAGTTAAGCTGAAATCACTAATAAACGATGAGCTGATCACGGCACACATCTCGAACACAGTGTGTATTTCAGTTTCACACATTTTTGTCTTAGCTCAGGAAGGGTGGCTCCAGAGCAAACTTATTTATGCAGTAGCCAAATTGCTCGCTCACAACTTTAAAGCCAGTAGCAAACAAAGAACGATTTTTGCTCACACAACTCCACAGCTTAGAAGGAGCATTGTTCCAGACATTTAAGTTCTGCGTAAAAATGTAATGTTGTGTATTGTATTTTACTCCCTTTTTTCACATTGCCTATGTACTATTTTCCACTTCTAAGTATATTTACAAGCACACTCTCATATGTACTTCATGCATCTGATGAAGTGCATTCTAGTCCGGGCAAGCTGATAAAGATACATCTGTTCTCTTTGCTTTGGCTGCAACAGACCTACACAACTATCCTGCAGATTTGGCAGTAGGGTTGCCAACATCCAGGGGGTGGCTGGAGATTTCGCACTATTACAACTTATCTCCAGGCGACAGAGATCAGTTCACCTGGAGAAAACAGCCACTTTGGAAGGTGGACTCTATGACCTTATACCCAATGGGCATAAGAAGATAAGAGAAGTCATGTTGGATCAGGCCAATGGCCCATCCAGTCCAACACTCTGTGTCACACTGTGGCCCAAACCCAGGTGCCCTCAGGGGGTCCACCAGCAGGGCAATGAGAACATAAGAGAAGCCATGTTGGATCAGGCCAATGGCCCCTCCAGTCCAACACTCTGTGTCACACTGTGGCCAAAACCCAGGTGCCCTCAGGGGGTCCACCAGCAGGGCCATGAGAACATAAGAGAAGCCATGTTGGATCAGGCCAATGGCCCCTCCAATCCAACAATCTGTGTCACACTGTGGCCAAAACCCAGGTGCCCTCAGGAGGTCCACCTGCAGGGCCATGAGAACATAAGAGAAGCCATGTTGGATCAGGCCAATGGCCCCTCCAATCCAGCAATCTGTGTCACACTGTGGCCAAAACCCAGGAGCCATCAGGAGGTCCACCAACAGGGTCAGAACTCCAGAAGCCCTCCCGCTGCAGCGAATGAACTGTTAAGGAGATGGGAGTCATATGAGTAATTAACACATTGAATTCACTTCTGCAGGAAGTGGTGGCTACAAGCATAGACAGCTTCAAGAAGGGACTGGATAAACATATGGAGCAGAGGTCCATCAATGGCTATTAGCCACAAGGTACAGATGGAACATGTAATGTCTGGGGCAGTGATGCTCTGTATTCTTCGTGCTTCGGGGGGGCACAGATGGAGGGCTTCTGGAGTTCTGGCCTGGCTGGTGGACCTCCTGATGACCCCTGGGTTTTGGCCACTGTGTGACACAGAGTGTTGGACTGGATGGGCCACTGGCCTGATCCAACATGCCTTCTCTTATATTCTTATGTCTGACCCTGTGATACTCTGTATTCTTGGTGCTTTGGGGGGGGGCACAGATGGAGGGCTTCTGGGGTTCTGGCCCGGCTGGTGGACCTCCTGATGGCCCCTGGGCTTTGGCCACTGTGTGACACAGAGTGTTGGACTGGATGGGCCATTGGCCTGCTCCAACATGGCTTCTCTCATGTTCTTGGATATCCATGGCCAGATACAATTTCCATGCACATCAGTAATCGGTGTAACAAGTGTGCCGTTATCAGTAGAGGGTGTACCAAGAGTGAGCAAGTCATATGTAACTGTGCACTCACTTACAACAAATGCCCACAAAGTGGCAGCAGATGGCACAAAAGCTGAGAATCAGTGGCAATCTGCCTGCTTGGCACGCAGAAGGTGAGCCATGAAGTGGGGCTGTAGCTCAGTGGCAGAGCACCTGCTTGGCATGCAGAAGGTCCCAGGTTCAATCCCCGGCATCTCCAGTTAAAAGGGACCAGGCAGTAGGTGATGTGAAAGACCTCAGTCTGAGACCCTGGAGAGCTGTAAAGAGGGGCTGTCTTCCAAAGGGACTTTGCCTTTAAAAAAAAAGGCTACACGGAACATTTAACTACTTGGGAACAGAGAGGACAAAACTGCCTTCTGCTTTCTCGGCAGCCACAACTTTGTCTCAGCAAAGAGCACTGAAATTCCAAATTTGCACAGCACCACACTGAAAGGTGGAATCCACAGGTCCCTGCCCAAGATCTATTGCCGCGTTCTCACAGTTGTCATCGCAGGCCGATCAGGATCACAAAAGCACGGAATGATAATGGAAACGTATTAGGGTGAGCTCTGTCTGCAACCCTCCAAGTTCCCCCCTCAACTCCAAAATACAGCACACACAAACGCGCTACATCAAGATTTTTATATGACCGAATGCTCTTTATTATCTTAAGCAAAGGGGCAAAGGTGTCTGAATAAGCAACTCTGACAGTGTTATTTGAGGAGACGATTGTCCAATCCTTCCACTGTGCCATTTATAAATGAACACATGAACCTGCTGAACCTCTTTCTTGATTTATTCAGGTGTTTTTTTTGATGCCGTCTCTTCAGAATTCTTCTTGAGATGGTTTACAGGCAGAAAATGGAGATCCATTGAAGAGAAGAAGAAGAAGAGATTGGATTTATACCTCGCCCTTCTCTACCCAAAGGTGTCTCAGGGTGGCTTAGAAACTCCTCTCCCTTCCCCTCCCCACAACAGACACCCTGTGAGGAAGTGGGGCTGAGAGAGCTCTGACAGGAATTGCTCTTTTTCAAGAACAGGCTCTTGTCAGAACTACGGCTTGCCCAAGGTCATCCAGCCAGGTGCAAGTGGAGGAGTGGGGAATCAAACCCAGTTCTCCCAGATAAGAGTCCGCACACTTAACCATGACAGCAAACTGGCTCATTGAAAGCTTCACCGATCCCAAAAATGGGCTGTAATGTTTAGACTGGATCACAAGGCACGAAGCGGCTGCCAGGTTGCTGGGCTCTTGGAGAGGGTATTGGAAAAGGTGCTGTAGGATAGACTGAGCATAAGCAAATCAACAATTATATGGCATTAAAGCTGCAGCTAGCTTTCCCAGGCTCCACAGGCCGAAGAAAGGTCATTACTTTTAAGAGCTGGAAATGGTATGATACAGACACCGGGCAGAAATGGCTGTCTACTCCTCTCCCTTGTCTCAGCCTCTGTTGGAAGCAGTCAAAAGGCCTTGCAGAAGCGGTCAGCTGAGATGGATTCGAGTCTGGCACCAACAAGGTTTTCAGGGTATTTTTGAGTGTCCAGGTATTTCTGAAAGTCAGGGTACTTTCTCGCTCGGGGTGTTTTCAAGAATCAAAGCTCCCTTCATCAGATTCGACGAAGAGGGCGTTGACTCTCGAAAGCGTAAGCCCTAAAAATCCTGTCCGTCTCGAAGGCACTACTGGACTCGAATCCAGCTCTTCTACCACAGACTGACACGGTGGCTCTCTGAAACTGTCACCGGAGACGACAGAAGCACTGTTGCTTCAGCGGGGCTCACTCGTCCCTCTATCATACCATGGTCAGCTCTTAGCAGAAAGCTCAGTGAGGGGCAACCGGATTTTCAGCCTTTTGGCCTAGTTACAAGAACCACCGAAAAGATCGACTGCCGCACCGTACAGACTCGTGAGGTCCTGCTCCAGCTGCTGCAGGGTGCGCTCTGTCACTGGAGGTATTACGTCAGGTGGTATCTGCCAGTTGTTATCTGCAATGGCGCCCCAGGACTCCCTTTTGTTTGCATCAATCACGCAGCAGGCAGCAGACCAGATGCGGCTGGGGTAATTCACCCGGCCTCCTGCGATGGAAGTGTCCCCGGGCACGGCCCCGGTGATCACATAGATTTTAGTGCATTTAAACTCTGCGTTCTTCCTCGCCATCGTTTCCGTCTCGTAGTCTTTCCACGACCGTTGGTTGAGCCTGTTGAACTGGGGCACAATGTTGGTCAAGGTGAACGTCGCGGCTTTGCTGACCGGATCAGACTGATGGGCCACCGGGTTCAGGTGTCCCTTGTCTACGTAATAAGGGGCCGCTTTGTAGTCATTGAATGTGGCCTGGCTGGCTTCGATCTCTGCCACTGGAATGGCTGTTTCTCGTTCGTCTTCCATGTCTGGACCATATTGATTGTTGGCAAGCTGCAAAGCAGGAAAGAAAGCAGGAAAACACAGTGTTAATTTCTCTCCGGGCAGGGATCCCTCCTGACCAGTGTTCCTTCGAAAAAAGGGGGGGGGAGGAAATTTGATGATTGGCACTCCAATTTGGACTCTAATATTGCTTCTATGAGAGCTGCGGTGGCTCAAGTGGTTAAGATGCTGAACTGCAGGCTGTGGAAGGTCAGTAGTTCAGCAGTTCGAGACCCGGGTGCCGCAAGACGGGGTGAGCTCCCGTCTCTAGTTCCAGCTCCTGCCAACCTAGCAGTTCGAAAGCAAGAAATTGCAAGTCGATAAATAGGTACCACTTCGGTGGGAAGGTAACAGCGTTCCGTGCGCCTTGGTGTTTAGTCATGCCGGCCACATGACCATGGAAACGTCTTCGGACAGCGCTGGCTCTTCGGCTTTGAAACGGAGATGAGCACCGCAACCCTAGAGTCGGATCCGACTCGCTTTCGAGCAAGAGAACCTTTACCTTTATTGCTTCTATGCTGGAGAAGACTGTGACTGTTT